TCTTTTAACCCAGCTCATCCTGATTTCCATTTCCCGCACCAGCCACTTGAACTTTCTTCTCTCATTGCTGTACTTCCATAATCCACAGTTGTCTTTCTTCAGCCACCCTATCACCACCTCCGAGTCCCCTTCAATTATAAGTTTTCTGACGTTCATCACCTTAGCTTTCTGACGTCCATTTCTAAAGTGTTATTCAAGTATGGCCTTACCCCATTATGTTTATTTTAGTGATTTAAATATTCCTATTGCTTTAAGAAAAGATAAACAACATTTATCTAATTAATACTTATTGTATTTCCCAATAATCATCTTATAATTGTTTATCACCTTCCTATAAAGTCTTGCTTTGTTGTCCTTTGAGTCTATTCCTAGGAATGTCTTAGAAGCATTGTCTAGACCTTAGTGGAAGGAATCTATGTAGGCTGAGATGGGTCTAGACATGATATGTTGTTTGTTTGTCTAATGAGAAGGAAATGATGGGGTGTAAAGGGGTGTTCACCATCAAAGTATAGGGACAATTGGTAATTAAAAGGTACAAGATGAAGCTAATAGAAAAAGGCTAAGCTCAAAGATTGTTTAGAGACCTTTGTTCCTATCACCAAAATTAACTTTGTCAAGCACTTAGTTTTGCTTCCTCTTGCATCTTCTTATTCTTGGCCTTATACTGGTTGATGTAAAACTGCTTTCTTGAATGATGATTTGACATCCAATGAGATATTATGCTAATGTTGTTATAAGAAAGTTAAGCAAATTGAAAAAGTCATCATATGGGCTGAGGTAATCTCCCAAAGTGTCATTTGATAGATTTAGAGGAACATTAATGAAGGTGAGATTCTCTTAGGATCAACCAGACCACACATTGTTAATCAAAAGGGAAGGTACATTATTTATAGCTCTTATTGTGTATGTTGATGATAAAGTAGTGCTTGGGAACGTTCCAGAGATAGAAAAACCCAAGCAATTTCTTAGTTGTGAGTTTGAGATAAAAGGTTTACAGAAATTTCAATATTTTCTAGGTTGAAGTTGCAAGGTCAAAACATGGCATATTCATTTTATAAAGGATGTATGTTTTGCATCTGTTGAAGGAAATAGGAAAACTAGGAGTTAAACCAATAGAGTGATAGACATGCCCATTGATCCCAATAATAGGTTATCGTCTTCAGCTAAGAAACCACTAGAAGATAAGAGGACATTCCAACATCTAGCAGGCAAATTTTTACTTTTATGCATAACTCAACATGATACTTTTCATGTAGTTAGTGTGATGATCCAGTTTATGCATGTCTTTAGTGACATGGTTGCTATGTAGAGATTTTTTGCTAATTAAAGGGACAGCCAAGCAGAGGCATTCTATTATTTAATCATGAACAGATGAGAATTGAGGCATTCACAGAAGCAGATTTGGATGGTTTAATCACTGATAAGCTCCACTTCTTGGTATTGAACTCTTGTTTTTGACGATTTGATATCTTGTAGGAGCAAGAAAACAATTCATCGTAGCTCAGCTCAATGCTAAAACAGTATAGAGCCATAATTCATGGCATTTTAGAGATATAGTGGATCTGGTTACTACTTGATGAGCTGAGAGTTGAGTATAAAAGGCCAATGATGCTTTATTGTGTAGTTGGCAGAAGTGTTCACTAAAAGGGTGGTCAAATCTAAGCTGAGCCATAATGTCATCGAGTTGGGGTTGATTGATATCTAAGCTCAGATTGAGGGGAGGTGTTGATAGAGTAAGTAAATATCTTTCTACTGTTTTTTATTATTTTCTATTATTTATGTCTTTTTATCATTGGTGGTCAGGGGTGTTCTTGTAAATTCTGTATTTTGGAGATTCATACAATGGCAAAAAAGCTGCATATGCAACCTGAGAAGCTCTTTCCAATCTCTTTTAATACTTCTTCTCTCCTCTTCTTCCTCTTATGTGATCTCTCCATTAAACCTAGATTAATTTTACAGCATCTTATAAATTTCTTGATTGTATCGAGCACATGTCATAAGTAACATTATTGGGATGGTTATCCATAAATTAGTCCAGAGGACATATTATATGTTTGACCTTAAGCTGCCTTGCATTTTAGTGCTGGTATCTTTACAAGAGGTGGACCATCAACTGACAGCATGGATACTAACGAGGCATCCAGAAAATAATTCATACTGGGCATAGAATTGCAAGTTTTCCAAATTGTGAAGTAAATGTGAGGCACATTATGGTTACTGGTAATGCTACTTCCTAAGGATCTCAAAATTTAGTTGTTTGATGAGGTACAAGAGATTACCGTTGGCAAGCCCTTGCTGCGGAGATGAGCTACATGAGCAGCATATGATTGGAGTGTCTCATTCTTAGGTTCAATAGACAATGCAAACTTTGAGTTGCTCTGTCAAAAATGAGTATCTCATAGTGAGACCATATAAATGCCAATGCCTAGACAAATGACCAAGTGCAAGTAAAGCCAAATAAGGAGATAATTTACCAAGGTATATTCATGGCCACAATATATATTTGTCTCATCTGGCAAAGCCATTATTCTTTTAAGTGATGAAAGCATCTACAGAACAAACAGTCATAATATTAGGCTTGTGAATGACTAAGTAGAATACTAACCACAGAACATTCACCTAGCTAAAGCATGTATACACCTGCAAAACTCAATATGTAAACACGAGGAGAGCAGGGGAGTGTTATATGTTTGACCATCTGGTAACTTGCACAAAATTTAGAGTTTAAAACATCAGCCCAATTGGTGACACTTACCATTGTATTTCAGATTTTATTTTCATAATGATATGTTCATCCATTACTATAAGCCTGGGCATGAAGGGGCTGTCCGAAGAAAAAAAAATAATAAAAGCAATTGAGCAGTTTGAAGGAAGCAGGAGAGAAGAAAAAGTAAGAAAAAAAAATTAGGGGAAGAGGGAGAGGAGTGGGAGACGGAAGAAGAGAGGGGAGAGGATTTGGTAGAAGAAGAGTGAAGGGGCTACCGGAAGCAAAAGATAGGACGGGAAGTGAAGGTTGAGTCAGAAAAGAAGGCTATTAATAATGAAATTGATATCCTGGAAAGTTAATGGCCTAAGAGATGGGAGAAGGAGGATGTTTATCCTGTCAGCCACCTTTCCTTTTCATGCCAAACTACTGGCTTCGCTTGGAACCTCTTCAAGGCAATCTTTGGAGTCAGAAACTTCCAACCAAGATCACCTGCAGAGATTTTTCCATTGTGGCCAAGAATCGGAGGTGGTAAGCTGACCAAGATAGTCTGGAGCTGTCTTCCATTTGCTGGAATATATGAAAGGAAAGAAATATAAAACTTTTTGAAGATGAGAAATCCCTATTCGGTTCTAGGTTAAAGTAGAGAAGAAGAAGAAGAGAAGAAGAAGGGTTCGGCCATATTAGGAAAAATCAGTCCACCTCTAGCCGACCCACTTGTATTTATCTCCAATAATCATAGTTACAAGAAAGACCATATTGTCCCTCATAAGTGATGGGACACATAACTTAAACTTAAATAAAATAGACCTTTCACTCTCAAATAGATAAACCCAAATGACCAAAATACCCCTGATTTGTGTATTCTAACAGAAGATAAAGAATGGAAATTGGATAAGTTAGTGATGGCTGTTGGAAAATCAGTGGCAGATTGGGTCTTAAAGATTGCCTTGAAGAGGGAGTGTCTTAATGACAGATCATGACCCAAGAAAGGAAGAAAGGATTATATATTATTAGAATGTAAAAAAGTGTGAAAGGACAGTTGTGTCCCTCACATATAAACAAAGAATAAATACAAGAGTCGCACAAGTATGATAAAGTAGGATGTATATTACAACAATGCTCACGACACAAATAAAAAATAATCAGTCCAAAACCACTACATCTCTACACTGATACCATATTGTCATGAATAATGAGGAAAAAAAAATAAGGGAATAAAGAAGAGTAGAGATTATTTTGTTTAACAATATTAGACACCAATCTTGTCTCCATAATGAGACTCTTTACATAATACTAAAATTATCCAAAATCACAAGAAGCTCCCAATTGGGCTGGTATTACAATAAAGTCCATAACTATATATTGTCTTCCTAAAATAACTCTTATAAAGGGAGATTTAAAGTTGGCAAGTTGTAATTGCATCTGGAATAATCTTCTTTCTCCTTTGATACACTTGTAATTCCTTTTGTGGACCGACAGCCTGACACTTATAGGAAAAGACTTTTTTTGAAGGATCAAGAAAAAAAATCATTAAATTGAAAAAAGGATTACATCTCAACACCATTGGTTGTCAAGTTGACACACCAAATAGACAGTAGAAGTCAAATTGAAAAGGATTCTTCATTACAAGGCTGTAAATCAAGGGTATTCCAGAATCTTTCCAACAAATCAGCTTTGGAACTTGGTCAAAACCTGGAAGTCTAAGGTGGTAAGGCCCCAGTCTGAAATCAGATTGCTCACTGCAGCTACCAGGTATTCAATGCTTTTTGACCTATTCTCAAAAACCCTTCTGTTTCTCTCCTTCCAGATAGACTAACAAACTGCAGAAGGAACACACAGCTCCAGAGAATCCTAGCTTTCTTGCTGCCTCTGAGATTTGCCCATTTGGAAAATATCTCTGCTGGACTCATTGGTTGGAAGACACTCATCTCAAATAAAAAGGAGAAAAACTTCCAAATGAAACTTGCTACACTGCATGAGAAGAAGTGAAGGACTGTTTCTTCCTCCTGATTACACAAATAACACCAGCTGGCCAGATGCAATCCCCTAGACTTCAGGTGATCTGAAGTGAGGATATTGTCATGCGCCACCAGCCTGGCAAAGGCTTCTACCCTTGGGGGGACTGGGTTACCCCACACTCCTTTTATCTGGTCTGAACCCATTCCTTCTCTTACTAGCGCCTTGTAGAATGACTTGACAGTGAATCTGCCTTACATTCTTTCCACCATAAACCATCTTCTGTAGACCTAGAAATGCTGGTCCCTTCTAATTTTTCCAAAAGCATGATGCACTCTTCCACTTCTTGATCCAAATGAGGCCTTCTGAATTTCAGATTCCAGATCAATTGCTCCCCTCTCCACTCATAACAGTGGTCTATTGAAATTTGTTGGTCTGTCAACTTGTATAATCTTTGGGCAAACCTCACTCAACTTCCTTATCCCAAGCCACTCATCTTCCCAAAACCTCACTCTAGATTCATCCCCCACTTTAAACTTGACCAAACTTCTGAACTCTTGATTGAAGCTCATGATTCCTTTCCAAACACTCACCCCATAAGAACTTCTTAGTTCCCTTGATTCCCACCCAAATCTGACCACACCATATTTTCCAACCACCACCCTCCTCCATAAATCCTCCCTCTCTCTCCCTTGCCTAAACCTCCATAACCATTTCCCTAGAAGTGCTTTATTTATTAATCTTACCCTTCTCAGCCCCAAACCTCCCCCCTCCTTTGACCTGCACACCTTTTTTCCACTTGACCAAATGAAATTTTTTGGATCCCCCACCCCTTCCTATAGAAAATCTCTTTGAATTTTCTCAATCTTCATAGCCACTTCTTTAGGGACTCTTAGCAAGGAAAGATAGTAAGTTGGTAAGCTGGATAGAACACTCTTTATAAGCGTAATTCTCCCACCCAATGATTAGTACTTGGCTTTCCATCTGTCCAACCGCTTCTCCACTCTTTCTATGAACGACCTCCAAATGCTAATTGCTGCTGACTTTGACCCCACCGGTAGCCCTAGATATATGAAGGGAAATTCCCCTACTTTGCATCCCATTACCCCTGCAATCATTCCATCTCCTCCCTACTTATGTTCCCAACTCCTATCAGTAAGCTTTTCTCTAGGTTCACCTTCAATCCAGTCAGCACCTCAAAGTTGGCTAGAATAGCTCTGAGATTCAGAACTTGATTTACTGAAGCATCCAAGGAAGGTGGGAGATGCACAGTCCTTCAGCTCCTACTTTAAAGCCTTTAATCCAATCCCTCTGAACTCCTTTCTTCATGATCAGATTTAGTGCTTCCATCACTAAAACAAACAGCAAGGGGGAGATTGGGTCCCTTTGTCTCAAACCTCTAGAAGCTTGGAAAAATTCAGATGATACTCCATTGATTAACAAAGAGAAAGAAGCTGATGGAATACACCCATACATCCAATCCCTCCAAATCTCCCCAAACCCCACCAACCTCTGCATCTCCTCCAAGAAACCCCGTTCCACATGATCATACGCCTTCTCTATATCCATCTTGCAAATCATGCCTGGTCTTCCACTTCTAATTCTTGAGTCAATACATTCACTAGCCACCAAAATCCCATCCAGACTTTGCCTTCTTCTGCAAACACCATCTGAGATTCCCCTACCACCTCGTGAATCACTCTCTTCAACCTGCTTGCCAACACTTTTACCATATAAAGACTGCTTATTAGGTTTTTTTTTGGTAGTTGCTTATTAGGCTTATTGGCCTGAAATCCTTTATGTGCACTGCTCCGCTCTTCTTCTGTATTAAAGCTACGAATGTAGCATTTACCCTTCTGTCTATGATTTTGGTTTCCCAAAACTCCTTGTACATCTGCATGAAATCCACTTGTAAGAAATACCAGCAACTTTTAATGAAATTGAAGTTGAAACCATCTGGGCCTGGTCCTTTATCCCCATTAATCTTCTTCAACTCCACCTTTACTACTGCTACTTCAAGGGACCTTTCTAGCCATCCTGCTGAACTATCACTCAACCGACTTGGTTCTAAGTTTCCCAATGACACCCAGCTCCAATTTCTCCCCGTATACAACCTCTTGTAGTAGGCCACCAGTTTTTCTTGAATATCCCCCCATGTATCTAGTATCTACCACCTCCTCGTCCACTTGCACCCTAGTGATCATATTTTTCCTTCTTCCATTTGTATATGCATGAAAGAATTGAGTGTTCTTATCTCCTTTTAACCACAATGCTCTTGATTATTCTCCTTCTCTTATTCCTATTATCTCTTGAGTCTTTTCCTATATTGGGCCTCCCACTTATAGGAAGACTCAAGAGGTAATAGACTAATAGGAATAAGAGAAGGAGAATAATTAGAAATATGTGGACTGACACCCCACATGTTTTATATTTGAGTTTTCTTCAAGAAACCAAGGAGTGTCAATCCTCTTAGGTTTCCAGGGAAAGCTACACAATTTTGAAGTTACATCAAAGGATCTTGTCAAGTAGCATTTGAAGACTAGGAAGTGGGATAATGCAATTGAAGAGTGTCTTCCCACCAGCCATATGCATCATGGTTTTGCAAATGTACAAGGGGTAGATTCAAACCGAGCCGAGCCAACTACCTGGCTATTCGAGCTCAGCTTGTTAAACAATGCCAGGCTCAAGCTTGAACTTGATTCGAGCTAGAGACTTGAGCTTGAATTCAGCTCGGCTCAAAAGCTTGCAAGTTCAAGCTCGGCTGCAAGCCAAGCTTCCTATAAAAAATAAAAATTATACATATAAAAATAATTATAAAAAATATTTATTATCATACATATAAAAAGTAAAAATATTATGTATAATATTTATTATTATACAAATAAAAAATTGTTTTTATTTTACATACAAAAAATAAGAAATATAAAAATTATTATTGTATATATATATATGTATGTATGTATACATATAATAAATATTATATATATTAGGCTCAATTAGGCTCGTGAGCCTCACAAGCCGAGCTTCACTTGGGCTCAAGTTCGGTTTAAACTGAGCAGAATCGAGCTTTTCATGAGTCAAGCTCAAATAGCTCGTGAAAAGCTCGATTCATTTCCACCCCATGTACAAATATGGTTTACATTTATGCAAGTACATGAAGATTGAGTATATGATAGGCTGATAACTAGTCATATATCAACAGATATGCATATCAACCAGTCTGCTTCTATTTTCAACTACATTACCCAGATATGACAAGGACACAGTTGGATAAAGAATTTATACTAAAAACAAAGTTTTTAAAACAATACGGAACCCTGTACAGGTATCCAGACATCATGGGTTTTGAACAGACAAAACATAATTGAAACATGATAGTTGACCTATCAGTAAGTCACAAGAGACACTTGAAAATAGCTGAATTTTCTTCTTTTCTTCCTTATATGGTGGGCAATTTGCATATATGGTTGCCAACACATAGAATATTGTATCCTTAGTTCCCGTTTGACCTTTGTAAGAAAATGAAGTTATTAATAATGGAAAGGTTGTTGCATACATGGTTGTGATCATGAAAATTGTTACCTGCTCAGGCGTTCCTTCAAAAAGCTTTCCACATGACAAGCTGAACAAAGTATCTCCTGTGAAAATAGCCCCAGATCCTGGAAAGTGGTAGCTAATATGGCCTGCTTGAAATTTAAACCAACAGAGAATTAGAAGACAGTGCTCAAAAACTGCAGTTCACTATAGTGCACTTTAACCTTTCACACTTGGGCAAAACATGGATATGGTGGAAACATTAAGATATGGATGGGTACACTATGAAAACTCAAATAAAGCCCAAAAATGCATTGATAAGACTAAATCAGTAAATCTAAGTATGAAATGACTATAAATATGCTATATACACATAAGAAGCATATATTTTAATAGTAAATGTTAAGTGTAAACCATAGGGATACACTTAGGAAACATTTTGAAATGGTAGAAGAATTAAAATATGGCTTAAATCTGGAAAAGCCACACATGTAGAAAATTCATTAGCCAAGTTTTTGCAATTTTATACATGTAAAACTATGTAGGTCAGTCAAACTCCTTTCTAGACTAAGACTTAAAATTGTGATTCTTCCACTCAAACTACAACTAAACTAAATAAATTCTAAACTACTTAACCATCATCGTAATCTAAGCTTTGCCCCAACAATATGGGGTCAGCTACATAAATCCTGTTTCTCCATTCCGTTCTGTTCAGTACCATATCCATTGTTAAATAATGGCCACTTAAATGTTAAATGGCTGCCCATAGCTCTTCTAACCTCTTCCAACTTTAACAGATCACTTCTTCTGACAGGTTCTGTAAACAGTCTTTTGTGCATGTGACCAAACCATCTCAGTCTACTTTCTCTCATTTATCTGGCACACTGATTTTTTTTTGGACATGCTGTTTTTAACTGCCCAACACTCTTCTCCAAACAATTTAGCTGGCCTTAAACTATTTTATAGAAATTTTCTTTTATCCAAAGTGGTATTTGCCTATCACATATGCACCCCTTTTTTTGCCCATCCTGCTCTAATTCTATGAGTGACATCTTCCTCAAATCCCTCCTTTGTCATGAATTATTGAACCAAAGTAACAAAAGAGGTCATATTGATTTATTTCTTGGTCTCAAATCCTAAGTGTACCCTAGTTTGCACTTTACACTCCTATTATTATAAAATTTTTGAGAATTTGCATGTATTCTGTTTTGATCCTACTTATTCTAATATATGTGTATATTGTCTATAAAACTTGCATTTTATCCTTCATTAGTTTCATCAATTAATACAATGTCATCAGCAAACATCAAGCACCACAGGACCTCCTGCTACCCGCTACTTGTTCCCACATCCCTACCCACGGGATATAACAGCTGCACATTGGGAATATCTCCCTTTTCAATCATAGGGAGATGTTCCCAATGCACGGCAGCAGTGTTTCATGGGTATAGATGTGGGAACAAGTAGTGGGTAGCAGATCCAGAGGCCCAAATGATGTCCTCCCTGAATTAATTAAAATCCACAACCCCATTTCTTCCTACATCCTTTTTTCTTTTTGATAAGTTAACCATAAGCTCAATCATGAGTGTGTAGAAACACCTTATTTCTCTATAAGCATGAAAATAGTCTATTAATAGGTACGAGAATACAACCTCTTGTATGACCAGGGGTTTCCATTACAAGCACTTCATGGCCTGCAAACATCCACTTGTCCCCATCGTTCAGAGCTATATCAATGCCAGGAATTCTATCCTTGTCTATGCTGGAGCCAATTACCTACATGTAACCAAAATAATTTGAGTGTCCCAAGAGATGTTAAAGATATAACACATTAAAAACAATAATATCACTCATCTAACAATTTGCTTCTACAAAAAAACAAGAACAAGATATTTATAATGATGAGGCCAAAAAAAGTTGTGAATGTATTCAGCTTTGCATGTTTTTTTTTTGTAGTAGGAATGTAGGATCCCAAATTGTTGTTTTTGGGTAGCTTTGTTGACAGTTTAGGTCCAGGGGTATTTTCGTCATTTTATAATTCAGAGTCTGGTCAGGGGAAGTTGGGTGCACATCTGTTGGGTTTTGGTCTCTTGGGTCTTTTTGTAACAAAAGTTATCTTTTGGGGGTTTATTTGAAGTTAGCTTTGTTCTTAAGGAGTTGTTTGTGAAAGGGAAACATTCTAGGGGCTCGTTTGTAAATATATTAATTGGCTTCTCCAGCAAGCCATTGAGTCTTATAAAAGAGAAGGGGGTTGTTTTCATAGAGGTCTTTTGGTTCTTCCTCACTTGTTTGAGTTGTAGCTCAGCCCTAGCTAGGGTTTTCAAGTATAAGGAGCTTAGGTTTTGCGGAGTTAACTCATTTTAGCACCTTCCAATCCCTTTATCGCTGCATCTGCACAGGAGGCCAGTTTGATGCCATTGTTACTATAGCAGAACTATTCCAGAAGGAGTTCTACTTCAGGTTCAAGTCTAAAATCCCTAAAAAACCAACTTGTTTTGTTGTTTGCAACTAGGTATTTCTTGTGCTTATTACTGTACACTTGAAATGCTGCATGTAATTGGTTTTTCTGTCCACATCAAGTGGCATTAGAAAAAGTTATTTCCTTGGGTTTGCTTCAAAGTTCATCTCCTTGTTGTGTTTTGCTATATTATTATGGCTGCAAGGGGTGGATGTGGTAGGGGTGGTAGAAGGCCACAACATATCACTGTAGAGGTTTTCCAAGAGGCTATAAAGAGGGCTGCAAGAACATATTGTGTGTCTTGCCCAACTTGTAGCTCAAAATGCTACTAGGGATGGTGACATAACAAGTGATTTGGAGCTACGAAGAAGAAAACAAGCTCCTAGAGTTGATAAACAACCCACTGATATTATTAGTGAAGAAGACATTAAGCAACCTGAAGGTCATCAACATGAAAGGAATAACAACCAATGATGGGAAGACCAGATAATGCAAGCTTTACAATCCAATCAAGGTCATGGTGTTCAACTTCATATTAGCGAGTTTGATGGTGAGTTGGAACCTGAAGAGTTTCTAGATTGGTTGGACAGCATTGAAAATTATTTTAATTGGAAGGAAATGAATGAAGAAAGAAAAGTGGAGTTTGTGACAGAAAAGATGCATGGGACTGCCTTGGATTGGTGGAAAAGTTATCAAAGGGACAGAGAAAGGAAGGGGAAAAGAAAGGTTAGTTCTTGGGGAAGAATGAAAGAAAAGCTGAAATCACAATTCTTACCACCATATTATGAGCAAACTCTTTACCAAAAGGTGCAGAATTTAAGGGAACGGGGAAAGAGTGTAAAGGATTACACAAAAGAGTTTAATAAATTGACTCTTCGGAGTAATATGACAGAAACTGAACAGTAAAAAGTCAGTAGATATATCACCGAATTATATTGGAGTCACCACCCAAACACCATGATCCCTCCCACAATCCTCTAACTGCACTCAATTCCTCCCAAAAATGGACCCTATCTTTATAGGAGTTTGGACCGTAAACATTTGTCAATGCCCAATCCTTACCATCAGTCTACATTCTAGAATTGCCCTACTAGCTCTTCCATACCCTCCAACACTTCATTCTTCCAAATAGTGAGAATACCTCCAAAGGCTCCCCATGAAGATGCAAAAACCCAATGTTAACCCCTTACACCCCAGATACTCCTAATCCATCTCCTTCTATCTCCTGAAGTTTAGTTTCTTGCAATAATATCAAATTCGCTTTTTCCTTTTTGAGGGCTTCTCTTATTAGTTGTCTCTTGTTTGCACTCCCTATACCTCTCACATTCCAGCTTATAATCTTCATACCTACATCAAACAATGAGCCCACACTTTAGAGCCATAACTAACAGCCTACCCATCTTCTACCTTTCCTTCTGCTCTCTTCCCTCTCATAGTCTATCACACTGATAAACTTTTCCAATTCACTCTTTTTCCTTTTCTTTCCTTTTTCCTTCCTTGTGTATACCTTCATACCTAAGGGATTCTCTAATGTGGCTTTCTTCTTTTTCCTCTTAGGCAACTCCCTTAATTTTCCCAGACTCTTTCTAACTACCCTTTTCCCTCCTCAACACTAGAGTAAGCGCTTTCTCCTTGTCATCCTATCTCTTCCCCTTCCTTCTCTTTTTCTATTGGCTCCGATAAATTCAGATCCTCTATTCCCAACTCCAGAGCTTTCTCTTTCACCCCTGTCTCCCACACTTCTTTTGATTCCAAATCACCTCCAAGCTTTGTGGCAGAGATATTTACAGCATCCACTAGCTTCTGACTCAAATCTGGTTCTGCAAACACTACCTTCTCTTCTTTTGACCTCAACAAAGTCAAATTGTACCCAACTCCAGCACTTTCTCTTTCCCCCTCTCCCTCATTTCCTTTGATTCCGTATCACCTCCAAGCTCTGTGGCAAATAAAATATCAACACCCATTGGCTTCTAAGCTGTTGCTGGTTATGCAAACATAGGGAAGGACACACACAATATAGTATTAGCAAAGGTTTCCGAGGGACCAAAAGGACAAACACTAACTGAAGGAAACATAGACGGGTAGAAAACTCCATGTTCATAACTTTCGTAAGTTCCACCCAATGCAAGCTCAGGATAGTTGGAATCCTGTGAAAACAAGGCTGCGCAACTTCCTAGGAAAGGGGATACTGTGCTCATGTGCCCCAGACTTTATGATCCGCCCTCTGTCTTAATGTAAGATCACCTAAATCCTCTCCCTTGGCCAGTGGTGAAGTCACTACACAATCAATAGATGCCTCCCCAGACCCAAACTCCTTCAACAGGATCATTTCGTTTGAAGAATCTACAGTATTTCTTTGCCCAACTCATCATCCCCCAATCTCCTGCAGGCCTTAATCAATTCTAGGCTCCCTATACTCAACGGTTGGTTAATTTCTTCCTCCCATTCAATTTGTACATCGTCCTAATCGCTATCTGCATCTGATTCCTCTTTATCTTCTCTGTTAAATTTTGGATTTGGCCAATCTGGTGTAGTAGAATGCTCTTCTGTAATCGGCCTCCAGGCTAGAGTAGTGGTTGTCCATCCAGCTGAACCCTGTGAGAACCCAACTCGCCTCTTAGCTTTCTCCATTGTCGATGTCGTCTTCTGTTGGGTGCAAGAGTCAGTCGATGGGGACGATGATAGATCCAGATTCTCATCCCCAATTGACCCAAAAGAACAGGGCACGTGACTTTGTAAAGAGCCACGTCCCAAATAAAAAGAACTCAAACCCACCCCTCTTGTTGAACCGGGTTGGGCTGGCTCATCCCTCTTCTCAAACCGCCTATCCACCTGCCACTTTTAACTTTTAGAATTTGATAAGTCCACCTTTTTAACACCTACATCATGTCATCACATACCTTGTTAGACCCAGCCACCTTCCTTGACAATATCTCTTCACTTAAAGCACCTGGTTGGACTGACCCGACCCACTCTGCTACCCACCTCTTAGCACCCAAGAAATTTAAATCTGCCGCCAGTCCATTTGGCTTGTTGAATACGTCAGCCTCTTCTGACAAAGCTTCAGCACAAGTCTTCCTCCTAGCCGTCTGATCTTAAACAACAGAAGTCCCCATCTTTTGATTTTTGGGAACCTGCTGGAAACCTTTTCCCACAGGGAATATTTGGTTTTCCTCCTTTGAGAGTTTATGGTCCTTAAACTTTGACTGAGCTTCCTCCATGTGGCACCAATCAATTTTCTCTTCAGCGCCACATATCGGCCACAATTCCACATCACCTTCTTCTTCCTCCTTCATTCTCCCATCCCAGAGAAATGCTTTGGCTCCCAAAGCAATCCAAACCTTGTACCAGCAGCCCTTTGTTAGCAGATGCAGGACCCTTGGAATCACTTCCCTCTTCACACAGTTTAATTGTGAAAGCTCTTTCAAGACTCATGACCTCATTTGACAAGGGATGCCAACAGTGTATCAGAACCATACCCTCACTGTTTTCAACTGTTGAAGTCACCAATGTCTTGTTCCCAATATCTAGCAGAGCCTTAAACGAATCAAAAGGCCTTAATATAGCTGGTTCATTTATGTTCAGCTTCTTCGAAACCTCCTTCAAAATTTTGTTCCAGTCAGGTAAGTCCTTATCTACTGTGATCACATACCTTCTTTCCCACAATCCTACAATTCCATCAAGAGACAATTTTGGTTCTGCAGACAAAAACCAAAGTGAGTCTATAGGGTCAATTATATTAGATTTCTTTTGTACCCCTATTCTGGCTCCTGAACCTTGTTCTTCTACTATCTTCTCTTCTGAGCTCTTATCTAAAGCTGCTTCTCTTATCCCTGATCTTTCTATCGTATCCACAGGTTCTCTGTTAAAACCAGAAAACGTTGTAGAGCATCCGCCTCTAGTTTCCAACCCCCGCTTTGCTTGCCTTCTGGAATGCACACCAGCCTTTTTTTCCATGGCTAAAGAACTCAGCCAGTGTCATGTAGACTCCATTTTTGTTTTCCTTTACCTCTGCCCAATAGATGGTATTTTCTTCTTTGTATGAAACTCTCTAGTTCACCCTCCTCTATGAATAGATACCTCCTTCTAGAAAGCCTTTGAACCACAGGGCAGCTTTACCTTTCAACAGAATCATTGCCTTCAATAGTTCAATGAGTTTCAGTACAGCTCCTCTTCTGGTGGAGATTTCCTCCAGCACAAACGACTTTGCCTCAACTCCAAGTTTTTCTCTCCACTTGCTAGCATGAACAAAGCTTCCCTCTCTGCCTTCCATTCTCTTTCTTCCTACACCTATTATTAATGACCTTGATGTTCCTATTGTTCATTGTAAAAGTGTTAGACCTTGCACTACCAAAAACCCTATTGCTCATTACACTTCTCTTGATTCTTTGTCTCCTTCATATTGTACTTATTGTTCTATTGTGCCTAGTGTTTCAATTCCAAAAACTCTTGCAAAAGCCTTGGAATCTCTTGAGTGGACTCAGGCAGGCTATACTGGAAAAGATCAATGCCCTACATAAGAATAACACATGGAAACTGGTACTGGTAGATCTTCTTGAAGGGAAAGAGGCCTGTTGTATTGGACTCAACTGTAATCTATTTCTTTCTTTTTTTTTTTTTTTGGGGGGGGGGGGGGGGGGCTCGACATTAAATATATCTTTCTGTTCATATAAATGAATACATTATTATGGTTTCACACAAATGTATAGTGGTAGACTATACAAAGACTTCTGCACCTATAGCCAAAATGAACTCCATATGAGTCCTATTATCATTGATAGTTAATTTGGGATGGCATCTTCATCAACTTGATGTGAAGAATGCTTTCTAAGACTTAGAGAAAGAGGTGTATATGATGCAGCCCCCTATATTTCAAGGGAGGTAAAGGGAAAGTCTGCTATCTTAAGAAACCCTTGTATGGGATGAAACAATCCCCAAGAGCATGGTTTGATCAATTCAATAAAGCAATCCAGTAGGTGGGGTTTAAACTGTATCAATCAAATCAGACCATGTTTGTGAAGAAAGGAGATAAGAAATTGGTTGTTCTCATTGTCTATGTAGATGATATAGTCACTATTGGTGATTGGAAATCAGAAATTCACAAGTTAAAAGAATTTCTTGCTTCTCAGTTGGAGGTAAAGGATCTGGATCCCCTAAAGTATTTTCTAGGGATTGAGGTTCCTAGATCTAAAGAAAGGCATCTTCATTTCCCAAAAGAAATATATCCTAGATCTGTTATAGGATGCAGGAAAATTGGGGTGCAAACTAGTTAACACTCTATTGAACCCAATCACAAATTGGATAGTTGTGTGAGGGATGTAGTTACAAATGTCAAACAGTTCTAGAGACCTGTTGGACACTTATTGTATTTATCTATTTTTTTTTATCAATTGTTGTATTTATCTATGACCTGTCCAAACATTGCATATGTTGTCGGTGTCCTTACAACCCGATGTTCTCACCAAAGAAGTTTCTGCCCTAGGACACACTAAACTCGTAACAAGTTGGGAATGATTGACATTTATAACCCAATGTACGGTTTAGTGTCTTAGGGGCATACTTGTCTTTTACTGTATTTTATGTTCACCCCAATATGATAACAAGAGGGGTGACTGCTCACTCATTCTTTTGCCTACCAAAATATTTTTCTCTTCTCTTGCTCTCCAAGTCAGATCTGAACCAGAAAAGTGCAATTAGTAGAAAAATAGGCAAAATACAAATTATTCTAGAATGTTTTCCCTTTAAACTCTTCCTTTCTGGGCCTACTAGGGTGGGCTTTGATATGGTTTATAATTAAGTCAACAAGTTGGGCCATGGGTCAGAACTGGACTGTAAGTCGCTCATATGCTGTAGGTGCAACAATTGGGCCTTATTATTTTGCTTGCACTACTACGGGTTCATGCCATGCACCATAAAGCTACATTCTGAATAGCAGCATGTCATTGAGTGGGAAAGGCCCACTTATGCTCTGCATTGTGACCCCATGAATATCTTCCACTTGACTATCCAATCAGAAAAGATGGCATCTTCCTTCCTTCCCACAAAGAACCAAGTGTTCTTCATTTATTTCTTGAATATTGCCAATATACACTTCCAATTTAGTTAAGGATTAAGAAAAAAATGGCATTCAGTAAAAATACATATTAAATAATTGATCAAGGTATGTATAGATATCATTTTATCATTTCTAACCAATTGAAAAAGGAGAAAACAAATTATTTCATCAATTTTATAATGAACTAATCAATCTTATCATACCTTTGCACCATACCTTGCTTTTAGCACTGTGTTCCCACCAGTATGATCAGAATGATGATGAGTGTTGAGTATGTAGGTCAGGTTTCGATTTTTCCTACTCAATGCATCTATTACAGGTACAGCTTCAGAAGGATCTACAACTCCAACTGTTCCTGTATCTATATCATGCAAAAGATAGGCATAATTGTCCTTGAGGCAAGGTACCTGGTGAAAATGAGAAAAATGAAATTTTATTAACAATAAAAATATCTTGAAAAAATTAATAGAATAAAACAACTGTTTTCTCGGTGCTGAGATGGTATGATTCCAGACAGAGAGAAGAGAAGAAGGAGAAGGGAGAAGAGAGAAAAGAGAGAAGAGAGACAAAATTGAGAGAGGCAAAAAGTCAACTAGCGGCGCCAGTTTATTTGGTATTTATACTAGGGCGACCATATAGAAAAAAGAAAAGAGAAAATTACAAAGGTGTGCTTGCGGCACTAAACTTAAAATAAACTAAGTTATTTCAACACTCCCCCTCAAGTTGGGACATAGATATCAATCATGCCCAACTTGTCACATAAATCATTGTGTCGCAAGTGATGTAAGCCTTTTGTAAATATATATGCCAGTTGCTCTTTGGAACTCACATATGGGGTGCACACTTCCCCATTAACAATTTTCTCTCTAATGAAGTGTTTGTCAACCTCTATATGCTTAGTTCTATCATGAAGAACTGAGTTGGTTGCAATATTGATGGCAGCCTTGTTATCACAATACAAGGGCATAGGGCCATCAACAAGAAAACACAGTTCGTTCAACAGATTCTTTATCCACATGCCTTCAGCCACCCCATGGGACATTGCTCTATATTCAGCTTCAGCATTAGACCTAGCCACCACATTTTGTTTCTTGCTTCTCCATGTGACTACTGACTAGGTTTCCTCCCACAAAGGAACAATACCCACTAGTAGACTTTCTGTCATCAACTGATCTAGCCCAATCAGCATCTATATATACTTCAATCTTCAAAGGACCATTCTTTTGGTATAACAAACCAGCTCCAGGAAACCTCTTTAGGTATCTGAGTATTCTTTTTGCTGCCTCTAAGTGTGTGGTCTTAGGAGCATGCATGAACTGACTAAGAACACCTACTGCATAAGCAATGTCTGGCCTAGTCATGGATAAATACAGAAGCATTCCCACAAGTCTCTGGAATTGTTTTACATCTTTGACAACTTCACCACAACAGTCACCCAGTCTGTGATTTGGATCAATGAGGGAGTCGGCTGGCTTAACCCCTAGTTTTCTTGTATCCTATAATAGATCTAAGATCTATTTCCTCTGAGAAATGAAGATCCCCCTTTGAGAGCGGGCCACTTCAATTCCAAGGAAATATCGAAGGGGACCTAGATCCTTCACTTCAAATTGAGTGGCTAAGAAATCTTTTACTCTCTGAATTTCAACCTTCCAGTCACCTGTGATCACAATGTCATCAACATACACTATCAAGGCTGCAATATTTCCTTCTCCTCTTTTTACAAATAGAGTATGGTCAATCTAACATTGTTTGTAGCCAATCTGCTGTATAGCCAAATGAAACTTGCTAAACCAGGCTCTCGATGATTGCTTCGGACCATACAAAGACTTCTTTAGTCTGCACACTTTCTGCTCTTTGCCTAGGGCACTAAAGCCAGGAGGTTGGACCATGTACACCTCTTCCTCCAGGTCTCCATTCAAGAAGGCGTTTTTAACGTTTAGCTGATGAAGATCCCAATCAAGATTTGCCGCAAGGGAGAAAAGGACTCTAATGGAGTTCATCTTGGCTACTGGGGCAAAAGTTTCTGCATAATCTACACCATGTACCTGGGTAAACCCTTTTGCCACCAACCTAGCCTTGTACCTTTCTATTGTGCCATCAGCCTTGTGCTTCGCTATGAACACCCACTTGCACCCTACCGGTTCCTTACGCTCAGAAAGATCCACTAATTCCGACATACCATTTTTATGTAGGGCATTTATCTCTTCTTTCATTGCATCTGTCCATTCAGGTACTAAGAGAGCTTCTGCCACATTTTTTGGGATAAGGACACTGTCAATGGAAGAAATGAAAGCACGAAAGGAGGGTGAGATGTTCTCATAGGTAACAAAATGGGTAATAGGTTACTTGGTGGTACAAGACCTAACTCCCTTCCTTTTTGCAATAGGAATGTCAAGGTCATCACTAGATGGAATATCTATGGCAAGAGGGTCAGGAACATAAATAGGAATGATAGTACCTGGTTGGTTATGATCTGTCCCCGGTGAATCTAATGATGTTGGCGGTACAGTTTCAAGTTGCTCCACAGCTCTTGAATTTAGTTGGCTCTTGAGACGACAAAAAACACGGAATGGAGGAGGGTCAGGCAAAGGAGGAAGAACCTGAACCTGAACTGATTTCTCCTCCACCTTACTCTCCCCCTGAGGAGAAACCGGGAAAAAATGATCACTTTCAAAGAAAGACACATCCATAAAAACATAGTACTTCTTAGAAACGGGGTCAAAACATCGATAGCCCTTTTGGGAAGAAGGATAACCCAAAAAAACACAAGGAATGGTATGAGGATCAAGTTTTCCACCAGTAGAAGAAAGGTCCTGGATGAAACAACGACAACCAAACACACGGATAGGAATAGAGAAGAGGGGAGCCTTGGGAAAAAGAAGCTAATGGGGGGCCTTGTACCCTAACAAGTGAGATGGCATACGTGTTATGGGCATGCCAGCCGGAAGCACACTGCGGCGCAGTCATAAGGCAATAGCACGCACAGCGGGCCGCCCAGCCGCACGCACCGCCTGGCAGCGTGCAACACACAC